ATTTAAATCCGATTTCCCTACGACTTTAACTTGAAGAACATAAAAACCTTCAGTCACATGCTTCCATAGGGACTTGCTTAATCTAATCTACCGTTATCAGAGACAAGTCATGTTCCAGAGATCAGGATCACCTTTATTACATTAGTGACCTCAAAGTAGTGTTGATACAAAAAAAAGAAAGACGCTAAATAAGGAGATCAAACACTGATGAGAAGAACTAACTGAAATCACAGTGCGCCATTTCCACGAATGATAGGTGGGTGAAGGTTAAGAGGATTTCCCTCAGTGACACCCCCCCTCTGTCCACAATGCAAGAGATTAAAGTCAATACCCATGAGCAAGCCAGGCCTTAGATCTTTGAGCCAAATGTTCACGTCCAAGATGAAGGCGGGGGGATAAAATAAAACGCACCATAACCCAGTATTTTCAAATTTCATACATTTAAGGCTCTGATTAAGCTCCACTAACAAAACATTGATTACGGTGGGAACAAATGAATACAGGGCCCCATTTCAGGCTGGATTAAACTTCATCTATGGTGAAACCTGATCTAGTCAGGCGAATATCTAGCTTCTGCGTTTTCTTTTTTTTTTAAAAAGGAGAAAAATGAAGCCAACAAAAGGAAATATGTGAACAGGGTTTGGGTCAATTTTCACTCAACTGCATGCTTTACTTAAATGAGACGAATTCTTCCATCCTGACGTTAACCAATAACCTGTCAAAGCCTGTCTAGTTACTACAAGGTAATGCCGTGCATGGAGAGGTTCAATAAACACCTGCGGCTTACTTAGGAAAAGCCTAGTAGCTCAGCCTGGGGGTGTTGGGACTATGAAGGAACTCTAAAGGTTTAACCACCGTCTTCTGGTTCATAGCTGTGAACATGGGAAGAAACATGCTGGTATCGCTCCTGTCCTCATGCGCGTATAAAAGGCTTAAAACAGGCCATCCAGGTACTTCCTGGTCAGGGAACCTCACTAATAATTGTCATACAGGAAAACTTTAGCATAAAAAAAAAGCTAAATAAATGTAAAAACAGAGAAACTATAGGAGGGATCAAGCTTAAGAGGTAAAAAAAAAACAGATTTATAACTGGGATCTATCCATCTACAACGGAGTATTAGGAGACAGATTCTTTTTTTCTTGTTTTTCGAGAATAAAGTCGTAACATTACGAGAATATAGTCTTAAAATTATGAGAATAAAGTCTTAAAATTACAAGAATAAACGTCTTAAATTACAAGAATAAACGTCTTAAATTACAAGAATAAACGTCTTAAATTACAAGAATAAACGTCTTAAATTACAAGAATAAACGTCTTAAAAATTACAAGAATAAACGTCTTAAAATTACAAGAATAAACGTCTTAAAATTACAAGAATAAACGTCTTAAATTACAAGAATAAACGTCTTAAAATTACAAGAATAAAGTTGTATTTTATGACAACTCTTCCAAGAAGCCCTTTCTTCCCTAAAATGAGGAATGTGGAGCATCATGGGAAGTTATACTTTAGCATCGGTTTGACAAATCAGGAAATCTTTTAGCAGCAGCATCAAACTGGGCAGGAGGTCAAAGTGACTCTGGATGCTGATTGGTGGAGCTGGTCAGCCGCCATCTGCTGGGCGGAGCTCCAAGCTTTCTTTCTGAAACGGGTTGTTGTAGGATGATTTCATTCTGGTAGTGTTACGACTTCATTCTCAAAATAAAAAAGATCTCTAGCCTGGCCCTAATACTCCATCAGATATGATCCTTTAGCAAAGCATCATGATACATTTGTTGTGGATAAACGGCTGTTTGCTGTGTGCGTGTTAACTTACCAGCTAAATGGTCAGTTACCAGATAATCCGTCCTGTAAAATTGCAAGTTCCCGTCAGCCTGCCAGCTTTTTTTCCTGTTTAAAAAGAAAAGAGAAGGGGTGGAAATAAATACTCCAAAAGAAAACATTCCCATCGGCCTACAACTTGATGAAAAAGCAGCGAACCAAAATTGTCACTGAAGCCTTTCAGGTCATTAGTCGCTGCCGAGCAGCATGGACGATTATCACCTCCATAAACACAATGATCCCTCATGAGACAGTGTGGCATTACAGTAGAAGATATTCTATAAAAATCATTTACTAAGGGATAGGTTTTTCAGTTGGAGCATTGTTAATGCATGGCTAAGTTGTCTTCTGGTTTCGAGGTGCAGGATTTGTTCAGATCAGACCAATAAGGCGTCTGGGGGCTGTTCATTTTGCTACAGTTTAAACCATTTTAACTTGGGGACGCTGTGCAGAGCGGCAATGTGCTGAACTACTGCACAACATTCAAACAAGAACTGGCTGAGACGCAGCGTGCTGCGATTTTAATGTGCAACAGACCATATCACAAGTTTCACAAGTTTACGGTCCTTCAACATGCAGCCCCTCTAGCTTTGCTAATTTACATAAGACAAACCAACTGAGCGACTAGTGCAATCAGAAAAAAGGGCACAAGCTTTTTACCTTTTAAACATCAGGAAATGGAAATGTTTGATCTTACACAGCCAACGCATGGCTTATAATCAGGCATATTACCAGATGTGGATCAGGATCCACTTCTGTTTCAATTAGTGGCTGTCCTCTCAAGTTCAGATGCAGAATAACCCCAAAATGTTGCCTTTTATCAGTTTGAACCTATGAAATCCCACTAAAAAAATCCCAGAACTAAATTTGTATGCAGTGTTATGGTTAAATAAGACATTGGATCCATTGATTATGTTAATTTAATTCAGTGTTAAGCATTAAAAATACAAAAAGATTAAAACACAACCGATTAAGGCAGTACATCCTTAACTGGTCCTCTGCAAAATCTGCAGTCAAATCATTTTACGCTGCTCACGGCAAAATCTTCTGTCTCCTCTTAAGGTTTTATTACACGATTGATCCAAATATAAAACCGCATAAGGTTGTTCACACCATAACTAACCTCCCCCCCCTTCAGACAGGATCCAGGTTATAAATTATTTTGGATTCATCTCTTTCAGTTACACCTCTGATATATAATCACTTATTTTCAGGTATAGCTCCTTTGAGAATGAAGTTAGCATTTGTGCATTATGAGTATAATACAGCAATTACCACTAATAAATTATTAAATCATGAATATCTGACTGAAATACTAATGGGAATGCCCACCGATGTACATCAATCCTATCCAGGGGGGTATTTACCATTAGGCAATACATGGCAGCTGCCTAGGGCTCCAAGTTCCTGGGGGCACGAATGAAACCCTTTTTACATGAACGGTTAATAATACCATTACTTATTTGTAAACATTAATTATGTTTTTGATAAAAATCCTTTCGCTAAAATACCTTCAGAATGCTGATAATATTAAGTGTGTCTCACATTTCTAAAAAGCTCCTAGCGCCAAATCTAGCGGCTTTTTTCTGCTACTGGAGACTTTGGAGACAACATCTAAAAGCAGCGAACTCTGCTCTCCAGAGCCAGTAGATTGGTAACCCCGCCTCCTGCTCTCCTCTATCTTGTCTGCTGTCATGATTCATGCAGCTATTATTTCATCCAAATGAAAAATGGAGAACAGAGAAGCAGATCATGGCTTGTCTACAGTGAAAAGAAGGACTGGGTTATTTACTTTGGCCTTTTTGGAAACACAGGAAGGAGCAATCAGCTAAGTGAGCTTAGTGCTTGGAAAAAATCTTTCATTCCTTTAGAGACAGCATGAAAAGTCAGCTGAGTACAAAACATAGAGAGGAAAACAAGAAGAAAAGGGACAAGAAGAGAGGGACACAACCTAGAACAGATAATGGATGTCTATTCTATTAACATTTCTCTATCTGGAGAATGGGGCTGTTACATGTGCTGCCTTCTCAATTCAGAGGGCCCCCTGTCTGTCTTTGCCTGGGGCCCCACATTTTCTAAATCCACCCCTGATCTCAACATAAATCCCCTTGTTGCTTTGTTAATTATTATCATTTATTCTTATGTTTTTAGTTCCTTATCGATGTTTCCTTATATTTTTCCATTTTGAAATCTGTCTCTACTTTGCCTTCCACAGATTTTATACAGTTGCTTCTGCCTTACTTGTACTTACCTAGTTTAAATAAAGTTCATTAAAACCAATAATAAATGATTAACAGCTATTAAATTTTAAACAATTGATCATATTGTTAATAACCTGCTTATAAGCCATCGTTTTCTTGCAATAATTATATTTTCTACCGCCTGCCATCCTTTCTAACGTTATAGTGTAAATCCCAGCTTACAGACTTAAGGCAGCAGCTAACAGGATATCATGTTAACTAGCTGACAGCTGCCAACGATACTTTAAACTACAGCTAATGCTAAGTCACATCGGCTAACAGATAAAGTCAGCCTGACAAAATGTTACATCATCAGGCGAGATAACGTTAAATAAACAAGCATTTGGATAGAAGTGTGAGAGCCTCAAGGACAACCATTATCATTAGCTTGGTAGGAAACTTGCTAAAAACTTCAACTACGGCGCGTGACACGTAGCGCTCCTGCTAACAGGTAGCCTCCAGTTAGCATGCCGTACTCTCACTTAGAGAAACTGAACTTATGTCTATCGCTTTTATAGTTAGTGACATCAGACTAAAGGCCGATTCAAAGCGGGAAATCCTTCCAACAATCAGCCCCGCATATTCAGACTGCGGTCGTGTCATTTTTATGCGGTTTACCTAACATTAGCGCACTCACTAAAAGTACAAGTCCAACTATAGCCTAGCTAGCGAGCTAGCGTTAGCCTCCATAGCGAGCTAAAGTCCACGTAGGCACACAGCTGAGCAGGCTGAGATGACACGGAGTCAGGCCACAACATCCTGGAACATAAGGCGCTCATCCACAGCGGGGATAAAACACCCGCATGGCGGCGCCTTTATGGGCTAAAGTCACCGATGGCAGGAATATAGAGGCTGATACTGAACAGAACGAGGCGATACTCACTTATTTGATGTGTTCGTCTGCCCTGAAGGTGCAGGAGCTGAAATTCCACTGGCGAGAAGGTGGGAGTGAAGCCTGGCGGATATATAGAGGACTCCGCCACCAATCATGTCCGCGAACGTCACGTCCAGGAGTCCGGTTACAACTGCCAGCAGTGAGGCTTTAATTCACAAGTTCTTCATCTGAACCAGCCCAGCATGGCCACCATTACTCTGGACACTGCAGTTAGAAACTATTCATTACTGGCAACAGTCTGGGAAATATTATATATGTGGAAGTTTTTAAGTCATGCTAAAAATGACTGAAAGAACTGATTAAGTAAATAAATTAAGAGCTTAGCTGTAGGTTGTAGGGTTTTTATCCAGAAGAAATAAAGCTATGAGTCTAAAACAGAGGCGGATTTAGGAAATTTGGGGCATAAAGAGCTGGCTGGGATGACTAGGGCCACTGAAAACAAAAAAAAAGTTTATGGATTTTTAAATATTGTTTTAGTATAATATGGGGAAAAAGTCAGACTTTAATCTCAGAATTCTGACTTTAATCTCTGAGCCTTTCATCTTAGAACTCTGACTTTAATTTCTGAGAATTTAATCTTAGAACTCTGACTTTAATCTCTGAGACTTTCATCTCAGAATTCTGATTTTAATCTCAGAATTCTGACTTTAATCTCTGAGGCTTTCATCTCAGAATTCTGGCTTTAATCTCAGAATTCTGACTTTAATGTCTTTAATCTCTGAGACTTTAATCACAGAATTCTGAGTTTGATCTCAGAATTCTGACTTTAATCTCTTTAATCTCTGAGACTTTAATCACAGAATTC